GCACACAGAAGCCTTGGTAACCGCCCGGGCCCACTTGCTTCCTGCTCCACCACTTCCCCTCTCACAGAACTCCACTTACCAGCACTACTAGGCGCAAATGCTGAGGATGGCAACCTCTTCCGCCTTCGCTTCAAGCACTCCCTCTGGTTGATTCTGAAAGGGCTGATCCAGAGAACTGGATAACCTCAGTTCCAGCCCAATGTAGGGCCTTCCCTAAAGCTGTCTCATCTTCTTGCTCTATTACTACCCCTTTTAAGAGCTCATCAATCCTTAAAATATCAGTAGCACCTCCAGAGATCTCACCAAAATGAAAAACACAGGCGTTTGTTAACTCATCCTAAGCTACACCAACAGGCTCCTAGCTGGCTTCCCTCATTCCAGTCTCGCCAACTCTAATGTATCCTTTGTACACCTTGCTACACATATCTTCCCAAACATTTCGTCAGTGCTCCCTCACAGCCAGGTATTAATCTAGATGTCACAGACACAAGCTGCAGTACTGCAGTGATTAAAAGCACATTCTGTGAAAAGAAGTAAGGCAGTTGGGCAGAGCTACAGGCAGTTTTGTCACTAATTAGAAGTTATCTGACCTCTTTATACCTCAGTTCCCCTATTTGGAAAATAGAAATAATAAAAGTACGTAATTCTCAGAATTATAGGGTTAAATGGGATCGCAGGGCTGGGGTTGTAGCTCAGTGGTAAAGCACTTGCCCAGCACATGAAAAGCCTTGGTTTCCATTTCCAGCACCACAAAAGACCAGAAGAACAAGGAGGAGGGGGAGGAGGAGGAGGGAGGGGGTGGTGAAGAAATCAATGGGATGGCACACGGAGAACACCTAGCACAGTGCCTGGCACAAGGCAAGCACTCAGTAAACGTTACTTCAACAGCAACAACAAAGGGAGTTGTCGGGTGAGCAGCAGAGAGGCATGTACCTTCCACAGCAAATGATGGGAGAAGTGATCGCACTTGCTACGTGCTGTGAGCAGAGGAGACTGAGCGGCAAATGTGGATGGAGCAATACGAAGCCAGACCTTGAAGGTCAGACCAGACTTTCCTACATGCAAAGGAAGGAAACGATTTCCCAGCTTGAACACCTGAACAAAAGCACAGCAGCAAAGAAGAGAAACCCTTCATGTAATCAAGTGATGTCCAGCTGTGGCTGTGTGCTAATCCTGACAAACCCATGGGCTCCTTTGCACATGGGAGAACTGTTCATTTATTCATGCAGCTGAGAGCCAATTTTATATCAGACAGCACGCTAAATTTCCTGGTGCCTGCCCTCATACACTTCTACTTAAGAAGGTAGTAAGTAAAAAATCAAAAATATTTCAGACAGGCATGGTGGACATGCCTATAATCCCAGCACTTGGAAGGCTGAGGCAGGAGGATTGCCTGCAGTTTGAAGCCAGCCTCGGCTACACAGTGAGACCCTGTCTAAAAGGAAAAGAAAAAAAAGAATACTTAAGTTTCATGTGCAATCAAGACAATAACAAGAGGCAAGAAAATTAGAAGTTCGGGGCCAGCCTGGGCAACTTACAGCTCCCTGTCTCAAAATAGCAAAATAAAAGGATTAGGAATATAGCATAGTGCTCCCTGGGTTTAGTCCCCAGTACAGGAAGGAAGAAAGGAAAAGAAGGAAGGAAGAAAAGAAGGGAAGGAGCGAGGGAGGAAGGGAAGGAGGGAAGGGGAGAGTAGGGGGAAGGGGAAGGGAGGGAGGGAGGGAACAAAATGGTATCACATGAAGGAGGGTCTCCAGGGGTAAAGATCAGGCAGAGCCACTCTGACAAGGAGAACTGAGCCATGACAAGGCCTGGCTAGAAAATGTCCTTGGCAGAGAGAATGACAAACTCAAAGCTCCTGAGTACTGAAGAAACTGAGTACTGAAGAAACAATGAAGCCAGAGCTTGTGGTCTAGACCTATAAGCTCAGCCACTCAGGAAGCTGAGACAGGAAGACCATGAGTTAGAAGTCAGCCTCCCTCAAAGATCCTCTCTTAAAATTTTAGAAAAAGGCCTGGAGTGTAGCTCAGTGGTAGAGAGTTGGCCTAGCAAATAGGAGGCTCTGGATTCAATCTCTAGCACAACAAAGAAAGAAGAAAAGACAGCAAGTCAGAGTAGGATACAAGGTGAGAGAGTGAAGAAGAGGTGGTCTCAAGAGTGGAGAGAGGTGTGAACAGAGGTGGTCTCATGGGCAGGCCCTGCTCATGTGAAAGGCTGGTCACCCGTGACAAAAAATTTGGATTTTATTCTAAAGTGCACTGGGAAGGCGCCGAAGGGATTCCAGATGGGATATGACAAGATCTGCTTTGTGTTTTTAAAAGCTCTCTCTGGTTTTCATGTGGACTGTAGCCACACAAGAAAACAAGCAGAGGGTACTGTTGGAAGGCTAGAGCAGTGCCCACACCAGAGACAGCACAGACTTCTGATACCCCGAGGTGACATCCGGAACATCTGTCTGCACCCCGTCACACAGTTTACTCACTTTGCAAGGTCCGTCTGCCCTGAGCTCATCCTCACTGGCACACGGGAGGCTTAACTGGCAGCTGGCACTTGGCCGGACTGTGTCGCCTCACTTCTTTTCCTCCTTTACCCTCCTTCCTTTTTCCTCCCTATCTTCCCGCCCAACTGCAGCCTTCATGAGGTCCCGCTGTTCCCACTCAATTCCATTTCCTCTTCTCCCTCCACCACCCATGAAAGTGTCACAAGCTGGACAGAAAGAACATAATTATTTTCTATCCGACCCCAAAAGCACTCAGGGATTAGCGGTCTCGTAGAAAACTAGCAGAAACCTAAGGGCTATTATACTCTCAGTGATACAATCTGCACACATTCTGCCTACTAGGGACCTTATCTCACAGTCATTCCAGCCTATTGTCCTCACTGCTGCCAGAGAAATCTTTCATAGTAAAATCTGATGTTGGTATCATTTGCTGTCTCTTGAGACCCCTCTCTCACCTGTGTTGCCTTCCCCTCCTTGCTTAAACCCCTCTAGTGGTGCCCACTCGTTTCTCAGATAAATACCAACTTCCTCAACAGGACCTGGTATGTTACAACCCCAGAGGATATCCCACATCACTCTCCTCACTTAACCCTGTGGCTCTACCACACTGGCTTTTCCTCTGAATGCGGCCCCTTCTGCCACAGGACTTTTGTATATGCTGCTCTCTTTGTGTCTGTGACCTCCCTTTTCCCTTCCTTACTTAATATTTACTCATTCTTAAACCAGGCGTGGTGGTGCACACGGGCGTGGTGGCACACGCCTGTAATCCCAGCACTGAGAAGGCTAAGGCAGGAGGACTGTTTTGAGTTTGAGACCAGCCTGGGCTACAAAGTCTGCTCAAGGCCAGCCTGAACTGCGTAACAACACCCTGTCTCAGAAAGAAAATAAATAAATAAATAAATAAATAAGTAAATAAGATATTTACTCATTCTTTAGATCTTTGTCCAAATTTTCTTCCTTAGCAAAATTGTCTCTGATCTGAAATTACACACCTATAACAGCTAAATTTATTTTGAAACTTTTATCACAGTTTATAATATATTTATTTGTATGATTACTTGATGAAAAATAGTTACTTCTCCCTTATCAGTAGATGACAAGCTCCAGGAGGGCAAGAACTTGCCTGTTTTTCCCCTTTACTATATTGCAGAGGTTAAACCACATAGTGGGCCTAAAGAAGATTAGATATGGAAAGATTTTCCAAAGTCTTAGATACTGTTCCTTTCCTCCCCCAGTACTGAAGATTGAATCCAGAGCCTTCACACTAAGCGACATCTCCAGCCCTTTTATTTTTTTATTTTGAGACAGGGTCTTGCTAAATAGCCCAGGCAAAACTTGAACTTGCAATCCTCCTGCCTCAGCTGCTGGCCTGCCCCACCACGCCCTGCTTTGTTCCTTTTCAACTGAGAAAGCAGAAGAGAAATTACGGATCTTCTTAGCAGCAAATTATTACTAGGAAGAAGGGGAGGGAGTCAGTGTCTGACACTCATTTTGCTACACACTCAGCGCGTTTTCCCTGCCTCCTTCCAGAAACAACGCTGACGTCAGCATGGCACTTGTGTCCAAGACCTGAGAGGGCCCACCATCCTCTTCAGAGCCATCCACTCATCTTGACTGCCCTCCCGCCTTCAAACCCTCCTTCCAGGGCAGTGATCACACCATCTGATTGCACGGGAAAGGCAAAGTGAGAGTTCCAAGAGCTACCACTCACTCACTGGGTATCACACAATAAACAGTCCACAAAGCCCTTCCCCGAGAGCACCCCTGTCAAGTAAACAAAGCAAGTATCACTATTTCCCTTTCAGTAAGCAAGGAAGCTGAGGCTAGAAGAGGCAAGTGACTTACGCAAGGTCAACACGCCTATGTGAGACACATGCGGGATTTGCATCCACGGAGTCTAACCCCTAGTCCAGTGCTTCCTTTCCTTGGCCAGCCCAACAGTTCTGCTGCCAATTATTTAACCCTGTTTTTCTCGCTCCCCTAAATAAGCACCGGTTCCTGACCCGTCAACACTTCCCACCCTAGTGCACGCAACTTGTCAAAGGTCTGTGCGGGCGGCCGGAGGAGTCGCAAAGCCGGCCGCGCTGAGGAGGGCTCTTCCCAGCCTCCCGTCTTTCCGGCCCTTCCTCTGAGCCACTGACGAACCCCAAGCCCCCCGGGACAAAAACACAAAGACCAGAGCGAGGTCCCTGGCTACCCTTTCGCCCACCTTCCGGCGGGACAATGGCGAAGCTAGAGCCGGCCTCTCCCACCGGGCCCGACCGCGGCGAGCGGAGGTCACGGGCCGCCGGCCGGCCGGGCGCCCGCGGGCGGGCGCGAGGGATGCGCCCAGGTGCGGCCCAAGGTCACCTCTCCGGCCGCTCCGAGCGCCCCCTGGCGTCCCGGTCCCGGCGGCCCCCCTCGCCCTCGCGAGCGGCCTGGAAGTCCGGCCGGGGCAGAGGGAGAGTGGGCAGAGGACGCGAGGCTGAGCCCCGGGGAGGGGCGGGAGGCGGGGCCCTACCTGATAGCTGAGGACGCCGTCCGCTTCGCTACTCCCGGCCGGCATGGCTGCGCGGAATTGGGTTTCCCCAGCGGGTTCCGGGCCAGGTCTCAGCAGTCCGCGCCGTCCTGTCGGATATGAGTGGATCACTCGAGCCGCGACCCCTACCCTGAGCCAACGGTCAACCATCAACCCCCGCTGGTTCCATAGCCACCGGCCCGCGAGGCGCCCGCGGCAGCCAATCAGCGAACGGCCTGTGCAGCCAATCGGAGCGCGGAGCACTGGAGGACGCTGTCCGGCGGTACCCTGGGCTACAGGGAGGCGGAGGAGCGAGCCGGCGCGGCAGACCGCTCCCCGCCCGGTTGCCGTGGAAACCACCTCCCTCCCTTCGGGGGCCTCTAGGCTGGAAGGTCCCTCCTACTGCTTGCTAGAAATCGAAAAAATCTCTGCTTATGTTTGCACCTGACTCTTGAAAACTGGGAAAGTGTTAGTTTTTCCTATTCTGATTTTATTTCTTGGGAGATGCTTTATAAATTCTAAGGAAACGTCCCTCAGGGTTGCAGGAGCAAAGCACTGAGGCATGAGGGCAGAGGGCCTTCTAAAATGAATTGTTCATCCCTGAGCTTACAGCCAGATTGAAGAGTGTTGAGGAGAAGCAGGCAGCCAGGCAGTAATCAGGCCTCCTCCACGGCTGGGACTTCGCAGGTCTTCTCTCCGAGTCTCAGGTCTGCAAGCACAGAGATCAGCTGAGGATGGTTGCTGAAGAAATCCTACCAAGAAAAAAGCCTCCAACTTTTCCAGGAAATGATTTTAGGGAAATTATTATTTATCAACAACAGAACCAAACAATGGAAGGCAAAGTTAGAAAATCATGAGTAATGTATTCTAAGCCGGGCGTGGTGGCGCACGCCTGTAATCCCAGTACTCGGGAGGCTGAGACTGGAGGATTGTTGCGCGTTTCAAGACCAGCCTGGGCTACAAAGTGAGCTCAAGGGCACCCTGAACTGCATAGCCAAACCCTGTCTCAAAAAGGGGGAAAAAAAAAAGAGTAATGTATTCTATTTGATTTAGGTTTAAAAGAAAAGAGAGCCTAGCTAAAATCTAACTAGTCCTCTATTCCCAAAAGGGAGAGAGGGACCTTTTTTTCATATGCACTTTTATAAGAGACTGTAGGTAAGTCCACGTTATTAGGGGCAAAAGAGTCGCTCCAAGTAAATCTCACCCTCCAAAGAAGCTGCTCGTGGGGAATACAGTCCAGTGCAAGCCTTGCGTACCGTCCCACGCATTGGCCCTGAAATGGGAAGCCAGGTGAGGCTCCAGCGCGCCTGAAAAAGAACCACATCAGTTTTAGTGCCCAGGTCCACATTCTCTGTCCATCTCTCCATTGATCCTACCTCTTGAATCTGTATTCACATCCCACCCTCACCTCCAGTTTTGCCCATAAAAATCCTTTTTTAATTTTTAAACTTTATTTTTTATTAGTACCTATTTGTCATACATATTGAACACATTCACCATAAGGAATCTGTACCTCGACATAATATATCTTAATTCTTTCTTTCCCAGTCCCCTCCCTTGAGCCCTTCTTCCCCTCACTATTTACACAAACTTTGTTTCCATGTTTTCTTTCCGTTCCTTCTTTTCCTTTTCCCTCCCTTCCCTTTCCTCTCCCTCCTCCCTTGTTCCCATTCCCAGTTAACATATTCTTCCTACTTCCCAATATCTGTCGTCCAGTTCTGTTCCTTTTACCCTTTGGGTTTCTCATGCAGGAGAAACAATACAATATCTAAACGTGCATGTCCAGTTTATTTCACTTAAGATTATGGTCTCGAGGTGCATCCGTTTTCCTACAAATGATGCAAGTTTGTATGGGAGAGTAGTCGTCCATTTTGTATAAATACCACACTTTCTTTATTGCCTATCAAAATCTTAGCCATCCTTCAAAGTCAATCCCAAAGCCCGCCTCTTCCAAGAAGTCTTTCTTTATTCCGCTCTCCCTGACACCCCTAACAGAGGTTCTTTCTCCCTCTATAGAATTCTCACTTCATGCTTCTCACAGGGGTTACATGCTCTAGTTACTGAAGTACTGTATACGTTGACTTTAATTTACTAAAATATTGTATGCTCTTTGAAGACAATGATTATTTTTCTTATGCCTTCCTGGAAGAATACTGGACACACAGAAAGTAGTAGGCAGATATATGTGCTTTTAACTTAAAAAAACATTAGTTCAATATATAAAAATTGTTATTGAATATGTACAATGTGCAGATTCAAATAGCACTAAAAATGCAGATAAATCTAAAACATATCTCCAAGGAGTTTAATAATCTAATCATGGATGTTAATACAATGGCAACAAAATAGTATGTACACTAAGAGCCATATGGGTGGGCCGGGTGTGGTGGCACATGCCCATAATCCCTACACTCGGGAGGCTGAGGCAGGAGGATTGCTGGGAGTTCAAGGCCAACCTGGCCTGCAAAGTGAATTGAAGGCTACCTGAGCTACACAACAAAACTCTGTCTAGAGAAGAACAATTAGCCATATGGGTAATATAGCCATCTCTCAAAGTCAAGCCCAAAGGCTAGCTCTTCCAAGAAGCCTTCCTTTCAAAGATTGTGGCCAAAAGGAAAATGTGCTTGGTTTCCAAACAAAGGTTACAAAAATTCAGAAGACAAAATTAGTTTTTATAACTTGAGGCACTTCAAGGAGACACAGAGGACGTGGGTTCCAGCTAAGTCTCAAAATACAGCTAAAATTTAATTGAGTAAAGGTTAAAAGAAAGGAGGTTGGGCAAAGACTTAAGAGTAATAATGCAGCTGGGCATGGTGGTGCACACCTATAATCCTACCACTCAGGAGGCTGAGGCAGGAGGATCACTGCAAGTTCAAGACCAGCCTGGGCTACAAAGTGAGCTCAAGGTCAGCCTGAACTACATAGTGAGTACCTATCTCAAAAAGACAAATAATAATAATAATAATAATAATAATAATAATAATAATGCACAATGGCCCAGTTGGGGTAGCCATAAGCTAGACCAAAGCAGAAAGTTACTGAGAACAGTAGGAAATAAGAGTTATGATAGAAAGAGATTGTGGTGATGAATATGATGGTGCCCACCTTTAATTCCAGCTATTTAGGAGGCTGAGGCAGGAGGATCTCAAGTTCAAACCCAGCTGGGGCAACTTGGCAGAACCTTATATCAAAATAAAATTTAAAATAGGGCTGGGGATAAAGCTCATTGCTCTCTGAGCTTGATCCCTAGCACTGGGGAGAAAGAAAAAAAGAAAGGTAGGAGGAAGGGAGGGAAAGAAGAAAGAAGGGAGGAAAGGCTGAGTGTGGTGGTGCACACCTGTAATCCCAGCACTTGGGAGGCTGAGGCAGGAGGATCACCATAAATTCAAGGCCAGTCTGGACTACATAGAAAGAACCTATCTCAACAAACAAACAAAATCACTAGATATAAGCATGCAATATTGGTCCCCAAAAATTTAATCATTAACTGTTCCTTTCAATAAACCACCAGACATCAGCAGTACAATTATCCCAGCTATCCTTCTGTATACATATATTTTTTTCCTTCCTTCCTTCTTTCTTTCCTTTCTCTCATCCTAGTTGTTCCTTTCTTTGAACAATTTCTTTCCCTTTCATAATATCTATTGTACATTTTGGGTTTTATTTACTCTTTCAAGGAATCTCTGTATTATTTCTAAAGTTTTTTAAATTATTTTTTATTCTCTTTAATGATGTGATCAATTTTGCATTCTTACATCTGGTAATTTGAGCAATTTCGTTGAAGAAAACAATACGTAATATAACAATTAATTCTTACCAATATAACTGGTAATTCTTATCATTTTGTTTTAAAACTCTGTATCATTTTTATTGTTTTTGTCTACGTTATACTTTATTATTTTTTTATTCTCTTTATAATAAAGCAACAAAAAAGAAGGAAAGAAGGTAAGAAGGAAGGAAGAAAGATGGAAAGAAAGAAAGGAAGGAGAGCTATGTTTAGGGCTTGGCCTATGTCTCAGTGGCAGAGCAACTGCCTAGCATACCCAAGGCTCTGAGTTGAATCCTCAGCACTGAAAAACAAATTGTGGACAAACTGTGGTAGAGAGCAGAACACTGATGAAGGTTTTAAGGAGCACTTGCATAAGCGAAGAGTTGGTGGTACAAATGCATTATGTCATTTAGTGTAATGATATGTATCTCCATTCTTTTTTTCCATTTAACTGGTAAGAAAACTGAGGCTCAGAGAAGTTAAGCAACTTCCTAAAGGTCGGGTAGTCATTAAGCTAAATTCATTCATTCATTTATTAATATGTAACAGATTTACCAAGACCCTGTGTATCCAGCCTGGCATTGGGTGTTGGAGAAATAGCAAAAGGACAGAGAGGGTGCTTGCCCCCTTGGGCAGTACAGTTTAGTGAGGAGACAACTTAGTGACAGGAGAACAAGATGGCTACAGGTTATAGTAGCTTCTATGAAGAGTTATGTGGCAGAGAACACCTGGACCAGGAGGTGAGGAGCCTCACCTGACGAGATGAGTCAAAGGCAAGTCTTCCTGTCTCTAGAGTTCAGTCACTTCACTATGCCACCCTGTCCCACAGAAACGGAACTAGCCCCGAAATCTGTCATTAGGGCAGGATGAAGCAGAGGAAGAACCTGAAGCAGGGAGGCCAGATAGTCTGACCTTGGCAACCCAGTAATTTAAGAGAGTCCAGGAATGGTGGCCAAAGGAAGATAGGCTGCATCTTCATTCCCCCAGAACACGGGTCTCAGCCAGGGTGGGAGTGAAGTGGACAGGGTAGGAGAGGATTGAGGGGGTAGAGATGATTCCTGGAAGCTCTGACTGATCTTATTTGCCTCCGGTACAAATGTGGAGAGTCAGAGCCACTAGACCTTGACTCGAGGGTCAAGAGCCCCATCTTCTGGCCTATTGTGCAAATTACAAAGGGAAATAGGCCACAGAGAGAGGATATGAGACTGCCTGAGGCTGCTGCTATCTGGGGCACTGCAGAAGACAGGCCCTTGCCTCCCAGGCCTGATTTGCTCTCTCTTTCCCAAAGGAGGCCAGCTTGCGTGACTCCAGGCACTAGGTTCTGTGTGAGTAATAGATAGAAGCAGTTTCTACTGCTCCCTACCCTGGTTGGAAAAGTGCATGTGTGCACCTGGCCAGCAAATAGGCCCTGGAGGAGCTGAAAGGAAAATATTCAGCCAAGGACAACACCTCACACTAATTATTTTTCTTAAAGAGGTAGAAAAAAAAGAGCACTACAGAACTGGCTTAATGGCAGGGGTAGGTTCTGAGAGATGTACTGTTGGGCAGTTCTATCACTTTGATGTAAACATTGAAGATTTTTACACAAATTAAAATGGCTACAACATGATAAGGTGATACGCTCTTACAGGACCACTGTCACACATACAATCTGCCCTTAACAAAAT